AAAGAACAACAACAAAAATGAGGTTGATGGATTTTCTGACTGGTTCAGACTTGATGGGAAAGTGTCCCAAGCTTACATGACATCCCCCTCCAGATCCTGGTCCTCTAGTCCTAGCTACCTTCCGGTCTTTGCTCTACCATGTCACAGGCCTCTCAAAGCAAGCGCAATTCTTGTTGTTGTTCTTTTTAGACAGGGTCTCTTACAGCCCAGGCTGGCCTTGAATTTGCTATGTAGCTGTCCGTGGCTAGCCCTGAACCTTCTCATCCTCCAGCACCCACCTGTCAAGTTCAGAGGTCACAGGTTTGTGCCATCACAGTCAAACCCAAGGCTGGGATAAGCACTCCTACCGACTGAGCTACATCTCAGCTCCCTAGGTATTGATTTATTATTGTGTAGGTATGTGGGTGGGTGCATGCAGGCACGTGTGTGCCGCATGGTATTGATTTATTATTGTGTATGTAATTGGGTAGGTGCATGCAGGCACATGTGTTTACACGGCACGACTGGAGGTCATAGAACAACATTGGGTTGGAAGGATCACACTTAGGTCACCAGGCGTGTCCTGAAAATGCACTGACCTGCTTAGCCACACTTCCAGACCCTTTTGCTTTCCTTGCTTTTTTTTCCTTAAAAAAGGTTTTATTGTTACTTATTATATTATTGTTAATATTGTTATTGAGACAGGATGCCACTTTGTAGCCCTTGCTGGTCTGGAACTTGTATGTAAACCAGGCTGAAACTCATAAGCTCCTCCTGCCTCTGCCTCTCAGTGCTGGGATTAAAGGCGAGCAACACCGTGCCCAGCTTACTGTTTGTTTTTAAATGGGTGTGTTCGTGTAAGTGGATGTTACCAGGGTCCTGGTGACTGCAGTGGTCGGATGAGAGTGTTGGAGCCTCTGAAGATGGAGTTCCAGGCAGCTGTGAGCTGTCTGATAGGAGAAGTGAACTTGGGTTCTCTAGAAGAATAGCAAGTAATCTTAACCACTGAACCATCTCTCCAAATCCCTGTCCCCACCACTTTTTCTTTCTTTCTTTCTTTCTTTCTTTCTTTCTTTCTTTCTTTCTTTCTTTCTTTCTTTCTTTCTTTCTTTCTTTCTTTCTTTCTTTCTT